AGTATTAAAACATCATTCATGTTGTTTTCTTATAAATAAGAGTTAATCTACTGTAGTCATATTTATTCTTACCATAGATAGGTGGGCATGCCACCTCTCGCACAACTTCCTCTCCCATATATTTCAACGGTCGGTGCATAACAGTGAGAATAAACAAAACGATATCAATTTGCATCTTACCGTGTTGACTCTGTTGTATGAAAAACTAAAGTCCTACTACCAAAAAATAGAGTTACATCTAAGAGTCAAAAAAGGCATTTAGGAAGAACTCAAACAAAAGGAAAGCAGAAGGAAAGAGAGGAGGCATGGAGATCTGAATCGGATATTTCATCATTAGATATCATTACTGTTGTCTGTGATGTTTCCTTTACTCCGCGTCCAAGGACGCTTACATCCTTGCGAAGATTTGTAAGAGACATTATACCTTGGACAAATTTGCGGGAAAACAACGGGCGTGAATGTTCCTGAAAATGTTTTCGAGATGTTGTGAATCTAATATTATGGCAATTACTTATAACTGCATGCATGCGTGACTTGTGGGTGCGACAAGGACTGATTCACGGTATGTTGTTACGTAGTATTGGATCATTTCTACGTTGCGATGATACTTTGGTACACTCTGGCTCTGGTAAAATAAGTGTAAGAAAACTTTAACTTTTATTTTAGCCTTAAACTACACCCTTTATAGCTACTCTACTTAGTTCTGTCATTGCCTAACTAAAGCTGGAGTTTTATACGCTTATGATCAAACTGTACATTGAAAGCTTGTTTATTATGTGGTCATCACGTGCAACCATTGATATTTTGAGACTGAAGTATTCGTCCATTATGGAGCACTTTAAAGAGGTAAAAGTAAAACTTTTGTCTCTCTGACTCAATCGGACTAATGCACGTATATTTGCTCTGAAAACGGGTTTATATACAGAAGAAATTTCCTCGTTGCTGCTTTTATTTTGGCCGTCGCTGTCTCGATCTGACGTTAACTGGCCTCGCTCCGAGTCTCTTGGTTTGTCATCAATTTTAAGTTGCTTGAGTAGTTCATAAAAACTCTTACAGCTTATTTGAAACAAAG